TCAGCAGACAAGGATGCAGCTAGTGCCTATGTGGATGAATTTGCAAAGTTAGTTAGTGATGAACATTTAAGTCCTGAACAAGTGTACAATGCTGACGAAACTGCCTTATTTTGGAGATGTACGCCAAAAAGAACTCTGACAACTGAGGATGCAGAATCGCCATCGGGGTTTAAAGCTTCGAAGGATCGCGTCACGGTAATGTGCTGCTCTAATGCTGCGGGTACCCATAGATGTAAGTTGCTTGTTATCGGAAAAAGTCCGGAGAGAAATGCCTGTACAGGTAGTGATGAAGATGAAAACAGTGAAGAAAATGAGGAAGATGTGAGAGACAGAATCTCTATTGACAGGTTAATTGCATTGACAACTGAACTGCTGGCTGGACTAGAGCAATGAAGTTTTGTAAGTGAACAAGAAATCATGAATGTTTTCTTGCTCCAAGATAAACTTATTAGAGAAAGACCCAAGTATATGAAGCAACAGACATTGCCCGATATATTCAAGAAAATAGCTAGGAAGCAGGAAGAAGCAACAGCGGTGTCCACACTTGATAATCCACTGCCATCAACTTCAAGATAAGTTGAAGCTGTTCCTGTTGATGTTGTCACTGTCAGTGATAAAGATGATAATCCTGACAGCCCATCTGCTGTTTAGCCTGATAAACATTAAAATTTCATTTGATTTTCATTTAGTGTTTAATTTTCTATTTTTTTAAAGGACTGTACAGGTAGTAATTTTCTGTTGAATATACTGTATACAGCATATATAATAAAATTTCATTTGCTTTTCATTTAGTGTTTAATTTTCTTTGTTTAAAGGACTGTACAGGTAGTCATTTTCTGTTAAACATATACAGCAAATATAACCATCAGTTTTCCGGCATTTTCGAAAATCCGGCACTCCTCAGGTCCCGAGGTTGCCGGATTTTTGATAGTCCACCTGTACAATTATTGGTCATTCTGAAGCATATATTACATATTGACAATATATAATGCAGTGCAGCGTTGATTTAAAGAAAATAATCTTGAATTACACCAAGTGAACTTAAAATTTTATGGGTGAAATGGCGGCATGAAGCATGGGGTGACTTCTCTTCCACCCCCACTGCCTTCTCTTCTCCCTTCTCTTCCACCCCCATTCTAATTCCCATCATCATTATCATCATCCAGGAGCCTTCTACATATACACCTCAAAGTAAGTGTACTTTACTACCTTTTTTGTTGACTTTAGGCAATTTTTGGTGAGCTGGAACCAATTACCCAAAAACCCATTGAAACAATGGTTTCGGTTAACGAATTTTTCGGTTAACGAGCAACCTTCTAGAATGAATTGTGCTCATTAACCGAGGGACCACTGTACAGTAATCGCTTTTAGGGCTTAAATTCCTTACCGTTTTAGTAAATATCAAGAAGGTTGTACTATTCAATAATTTTAAAAGTTTTATATTAAATTTTTTAGTAATTTTAACAATTATTGAACATAATTGAAGGACAGTCGGCCCTTAACATACGCGGGTTTAAGTTACACGGATTTGCAAATACCCAGATTGCCGCTGGAGTTATATACATTCAAAGGAATATACATTATTCAAATCTCGCACGACACCACACACACACACACACACACACGCACACACGCACACACGCACACACACACACACATCGCCCGCGCCACTCCGCGTTCCCTCGCTCCCTCAGTCACTCAGTCTCACTGTAACCACGCTTGTGTTGACAGCATTGTAGTTGCAAAAATATTACATTTCTGTGACTGTATTATATCAAGCACAGTATGAATAGAATGTCACTAACATAACAGTATTTTAACCGAAAACTATTAAAAAAACGAGTAACATATCTTGAACATCGGAAGGTTAGGTAAAGTCTTTTGTTTTCATGTAGTTTACCCTAATTTACATTGAAATACATTACGTTTCAGCAAAACTACTATTTATTTCTGAGAATATGGAAATGTAATATTTTTGCTGAAATGACGTACATATTACAGTGGAAAGTGACGAAAGCAATGACTTTCGCTTTCTTTCGTTCAAAAGATGTTACCGTAATCACTTTTCGAATGGTTTTCAGTTAAAAAACTGTTGTACAGTCGACCCTCGTTAAAACGGACTAATAGGGGGGGAGGGGTGTCCGTCTTAGCCGATTGTCCGAATTAACCGATTTAGGGGTTAATATTGCATTATACAGCTATGTGTATGTTTATTTGAGTGCCCCGTCATAGAAGTCCGTTTTCTCTCACTTCAGGACGCTTGAGTCGTCCGTTTTCTCTTAATCTTGGAGTGCAGTACACCAGTGACTTCTTTATTTCTTAGTAATGACACAGAATTTGAAATTGCAACTGGGGTTGCAATTGTTGAGGCAACTTAGGTATGTCTGATTACAGTTGGAATATTCAAGATCCATTGTGAGTGATGTTTAAAGCTTCAACTGTCTTTATGGTTGGTAAAACTTGTCAAGTCTGTCAGTCTTAATGGCATGTGTGAGGCCTTGTGTTTGTACAACTGCTAAATATATAAATATATACAGGTAGTTCTGCTATAACGCGATAATTGTGTTCTTGTAAAATATCGTGTTATAGAAAATCGCGTAATAGAAATAACAGGGCTTATGGAGAAAATAGGGTTAGGTGCAGATTACTCGAAATCGAAAAAATTTAGTAGTTAGCCTAACACAAAGGATAGCACAGTCTAAATAAATGTTACATTCATATCTAATAATGAAATCATACAGTAAATGTAACACTTTACTTGATGGGGGAGAAGGGTGATTTTGAGGTTGATAAAATCGAGCTTCTCTTCAAGTGTTATATCCTTTCTTTTACGATCATCACCGGGAATTCTATCACCAGAACGCTTCTTGTTGATATTCTTCTTTACTATATTCACAGTTAATACTACCACAAAATTGGAGAAATAGTAAGCAAAAATCGCGTTATAGCAAACAAGCGTTCGCGTTATACAAATATCGTTCCTAATTCATAAATCGCGTTAGAGCAAATTCGCGTTATCAAAACACGCGTTATAGCAGAAATCACTGAATATTTTAATGAAAATACCCGGTATTTAGAAATACGGTATCGTAGTTTTCTTTTGTTTCAAATTTAATTGACAAAGATTGATGTTTCATATGTAATGAAAAAAAAATTTATGTATCTATAAATAAACTTTAAAAAATGAATACTTTATGTTTTACATCGTCCTGTGCTACCTTACCATGCATTTGGCTACTTTGGGCTTGCTATGATGACGCAAGAGATCTGCCCTGGCAACTGTACCGACACTCACAGCTGGTGGTACGTCGTTTCCATTGTTTGCTGGTAGTTACTGGTAAATATTTTTCAACCTAACGAAACTATTACCCGTTTAGAGGTCGACCCCCAATTTTTTGCCCAAAAAATTTGGTCTTAAAAACTCGAACTACACACAGGTATATATGGTAAATAAGGATATGGGGGGGCAGCAAAAATACACGGATTCTTAACATTCACGGGTATCTCTGTTACCTAACCCCCAAGTATGTTAAGGGCCGACTGTACAGGAAACTAGTTTTTTGCGCTCCAAACAGCCACTCAACACACCAAGCTTGGCGTCAGTTTGTTTACCAGTTCAGAGGAAGGAACATCTTGTTTGAGACTCTTCAACATAAATGCTTTTTTTCTGTGTTTCCAGTCAAAATATTGGTAATTTTGAAATATATTTTACATACCCTATTGATAATATATAGCGCAGTGCAGTGTTGATTTAAAGAAAATAATCATGGATTACACCAAGTGAACTAAAATTTTATGGGTGAAATGGTGGCATGGGGTGACTTCTCTTCCACCCCAATGCCTTCTCTTCTCCTTTCTCCTCCATCCCCATTCTAATTCCCATCATCATCATCAACCAGGAGTCTTCTACATGCACACCTCAAAGTAAGTGTACTTTACTGCATTTATTTTTAGTTTGTATGTAATTTTCAGTGAACTGGATTCAATTTTCCAAAAACCCATTGAAACAATGGTTTTGGTTAACAAATTTTTTGGTTAAGAAGCAACCTTCTGGATCGAATTGAGTTCGTTAACCGAGGGACCACTGTATATAGGAAAATGTCGATAATTTGGTAGCTGCGATATAATTTTTTTTTTTTATATAAAGTCGCTATATATCCCGACCCTACTGTATATGCAGAGAGCAACTGACGTCTAATAAGAAGGTGGTGGAGAAGAGAGGGGATTCGATGGGGGAGGGAGGATAAAAGGGTAAGCTAGGTGAGGTGTGTGGTCAAGGTGCTAATGGACACAAGAAGATCAAAGGAAAAGTCCGTTGTCATGGCCACTGCCACCTGACCTCATCCACACAACTCTTTTACTATGGTTAATATTTAATTAATTTGTTAAAAATATATTATTAATTTGCATGTAATTTTTTTTTTTCAATTGCATTTGAGTAAAATTTTAGAAGACCATACTTTTGTATAAGTACTGAATATTTTGAGTACTTTTTCAAACATACAGTAAATACCCCAAAAATTTATTTGTACAGCACTCAAGTAAATTTATTGAGTTACTTTCAACTCAGACCAAGAGAGAGAACCTGTTGCCAACATCACCTGTATGTAAATTCTTAGCCCCTTCTTATTTTAACTCTAATAACTCATAATATTAGACTTTTTCACTCTGCACATATTTTGCATTTCACATTGGACCTGCAGCTCATCAGGTGTAAGGTATACATTTTCCTTATAATAGTCACTGTACTTGAATCATAAACACACCATTTGGTCTGTCATTGTGTGTTGTAATAGTCATTTGCACAAAAGACATGAAAATCTGACCTTTTATAATTTTATATTCGTTTATTGTACAGTACTTAGAAATCTTTAATTGTTCAACAATGGAATATGAAATGTAGAAATATGAATACTGTACTGTACTGTACATTATCTGGAATCTTATAGTAAGTTAATTTATGAAATACTAATATTGTGAAAAAAATTTATATTCTACAGGTACACGAACACCACTTCAAGTTCAAAGTAGAGTCCAAAAGTATTTCATAGCCCTCAAACGTGGAGGGCTACCAGTTCCAGGCAAAAATCCAAGATCAGCTGTTTTGAGAAAAGCGGTAAGAAATTACAGTCACAACGCTTCAGATTAATTTGAGTAGAGTATACAAAGGCATCACACCTGTTTCCCCACGTGGCCTTCCATTAATGGGTCATATTCTTCCATGATATTTTCACTGTGTTTATGTGGTATGGGAAAACCTATGAAAATTTGATTTAAAACTTACAGGCATAGTGTAATTGGAATTTTAACTGCCCTCTACAGGTATTCCTCACTAAATGAAGGGAATAGGTTCCTTGAAAACCATTCATTACATGAATGTTCATATACGTATTGAAAACATAACATCGGAAAAAAATAGGGTTCGGTTCTCCAATGACAAGAAACCCCAACATCATATGAAAAATTTATGAAATGGGTTCACAAATAACGAAAAAGCCTATGTAATTAACTTAAATTAATAACTAACTGCTGTACATTACTGAAATTTCGTACCTGACTACAAGAAATCCAAAAAAAAATTAAATTGATTAACAAAACCTACCAAACTCTTGTATATTAGTACAGTAAAGCCTCTAATAACGACGGCAATGTGTCCTTCAATATTGCAGTGTAAGGTGAATCATCGTATTGCTAATCATTAATTACCATTAAAATAAAACAATAATAATGAGATGTATTCCCAAGTGTGACCTTTTCATATATTTTGTGTGGCTTTTTACTCCCAAAAACAACACAATTAATGAAAATTGTAAACTATATTCTTTAAATAATGTTTCTGAATGCACCTTATACAATATAGATGAATAATAATATGGTCACACAAGAGGAGATGTGACGCCAATGT